CTCTTCGTGTAGTTTATCAACTGCACAGTTATTTCCCTCTGCTCTCTAATAGCATCTCTAATCTTCTGAACCGTCGCTTGATCTGTTTCTGGCCCCTGAAGAAACCTGAGGCCAAACACTAGAACATGTTCATATAACATAACAAAAAAAAAGCGAAAGAAGACTACAGAAATTGGAAGATAATTTCTAGTCACATACCGACAATTTCTCCCCAAAATTTCCTCACGTGTAAACTCTGTCAATTCAAGAAAGCTGTCTGATGCAAAGATCTGCACATAATTAATCAGCTCTTTTATTTCCTGGTTTTATAACTTTATTATGTATCTGCATCAAACATAGAACGCTCAACATTGCAACCAAAGCCTTTACTTCTGATGAATTAGAATTTTAGCAAGCAGAGTGGGAAATTCAAGCTGAGCAATGCAGTTTATAAATTACTGAATTCACAGGAGGAAGCTCTTAAAATGAATCTTTTTTCTTTTTCCTGTCAACCTTAACACGGATATTACACAACCCTTCTCTACTATCACACTGATGGGAAGAGAAGGGGCAAACATTACAATATGCGGAAGAACATGCATCTTAAGCTGAAGCTTAATAACCCATGAAAATAAACTTACAATGGGATTATCTGGAAGACGGGGATCAGAAATGACAAAATTCTTCTCTATGCGTTCCAGAGTGGTGGCTAGATCAATCCCTTGGCGTAGAACTGTCGACCTTTCCCTTTCAGAACGATCCCAACTGTCAGTGCGCTCCACACCCGTAGTTATCAATGCTTCAGGCTCAATGCTTGGAATATTTTCATGCAACCTAGTCGAGCTAAATGATTTGTGCTTCGATCTGCATGGTCATATCGAGCATCTTGCGTGAGAATCATACATTATACAAGTTCACTGACCAATGCAAGTTGGAGAGGGATGGACGTAGAGAGTGTGAAAGTACGCAATCAGGCGGAGCACGGGGTTAAATAACGTCATAAAATATTTTAAATCCATTTATTTTGCATTCGATTGATTTCCTAGAGCAAGAGAAATGAGTATGTTTGTTTCTCTTCATATGAAAAACTCACCTTGTGAAGGAAACACGTCCAGATTTTCTGGACGACTTGGAACCGTCATCTGATTGCATGATCTGGCTACCGGGTGTATTAGCATCACCAAGTCTTGGCAAACTCTTATTGCTCGTGTCACATACATGAGGCTTGGGATGTTTAATTGTCTGTACGACCTCCGTGATGGAATCCAAAGCTTTCTCCTTCTGACGAGCTGATGCATCATCAGAAACGTAACCGTTAAAATAGATGGAAAATGACACATTATTTGTTTCTCTCGCAGGAAAACTTGTGAAATTCAAAAACAAATTTGAGGAAACAGAAACCATCATATCGGATCAAGGATTTGGGCAATCCATTTGGGCGAAGAGCTTTGTCATTTACGCCTTCCGTGTATTTGCTGACTTCAACCTGCATTCTGCAGACACAAACAAGACAAGAGAAAGTCAAGCAAATGTCGAGTAGGCAGATATATATAAGAAAAAGGGAGATACCCAATAAATTTGATGGTGTTGCCACGGTCATCCTTTATGGGTGTGACCGTGAGGAGATTCCAGAAGGGAGTTCCGTCCTTCTTGTAGTTCAAGAGCCTCCCGCAGTAACTTTTCCCATTCTTGACAGCGTCTCTGATTTTGGCCACTTCATTCCTGTCTGTGTCAGGTCCCTGCAGAAATCGGCTGCAATTTTGGCGCAAAGAGTGAGATTGTAATGTGTGTTTTTAGAGTAATATTTTCACTGAATTAGTTCTGTACCACAACCAGAATGCTCTTACCAGTTTCTTCCAACAATCTCCTTTGAAGAATAACCGGTCATGGTGAAAAAACCGCTGCTAGCATACATAATGGGACAGTCTGGCTTTGTAGCGTCTGACACTACAAACGTCTGCTGCAAAGTAGCCAAAGCGGCTTTGAGCTCCTGCGATACTCTTGGGAAGGCCCCTGATTCAGAGGATGTAGATTCTTCTGATGTCCTTGTCGACATGTTCTTGCTCCGTTCTCCTTCTCCTGAAGCCCTCTCCCCCATCTTGAAACTGCTTTCTCCTGAGAATCCCCATTCCGCGGTTCTTTCCACTATCTTTGCCGAATCTTGAAATGCCATCCACTTTGATGATGAAGAAGATGGTCCCCCGCCGTCAACCTTTTCTGAGGCGTTGAAGACCTCAAGGGATCTGCGTTCCGTATCGCTCAAGGAAGATATAGGGGCTCTAGGTCTATCCATTTACAGATAATGCTGTTTATTATTGGCTGCAAGAAGAGTGATTCAAGTTAAGAAAAGATGACAGCTAAGCAAGAACGTGATAGCGTTGAAGTGATCAAGAAACACTTGAAGAAGATCATACAGAATCTGACAGTTCGTTGCTCAAAGACGCTTTTTGGATAACATGGCACAATTAACGGCCCCAACTGTAGGCATACTGTCAATGAATCCACCATCCACCACGGTGATCAAATGCTAACAGATTGTTATTGAAAAGAGTGCATCCAATTAATTTAGAGAGAAGAAAAACAATTGAGGAGGAGACGATGGAAAAATTCATGAAAGATTTAGGCCTCCAGCGTCGATGTACGGCAGACCTGAATGGGCCGAGGCCCATAGTCCAAAAGACACCGGAGGATGGACAGTGAACACAAATCAAATCAAGAGGGCGACCACCGACAACAGTACACAACAAGGCGAGGAAGAAGAATTTACTTGGCAGAATTGCGAGAGACAATCTTCTCGATGGAACTCCGGAAGGCTTCTGATAACTCTTTAGCCTCCTATGGAATGGATTCGATTTCTTCTTCTTCCTTTTCCTCCTCCTCTTCCTCTTCCTCTTCCTCTTCGGTTAAGAACTATCCTACCTCTGAATTTATTCATTTTCGAACAAACAGTAACACAAACTATCATGTTTCTGAGGCTACAAATAAGCGATGTGGCAAGTGTCAGAGGATAGACATCGTTTTCCTTCTTCATACTCGCATGGCCCTATCTGGCACCCTGGACCACACATAAAATTAACCTGTAAAAATTAATGACAGTATACAACAACTCCGAGACACCAGATAAAGAAACCATTACTTTTTATATTTTTGCCAGTTGCGAGCTTAAATTTATGGAGAGAGAAAACTGATGATCTGAAGAACAAAATTTTTTAAAAAAAAATGGAAGAGGTCGATTCATCTCCTCTCCGCGATCTAATCTCAAGTCAAATAAAGGGCCTAGGTAATGTTAGTCCAACGTAAATGGGCTTGAAATAACGGGCCTTCCCTTCAGAGTTGTTCGGCTCTTCTTCTCCTCTTTCTGCCGGAAAGAGAGAAAAAAACAAAAACAGGATTTAGGCCTCCAGCGTCGATGTACGGCAGACCTGAATGGGCCGAGGCCCATAGTCCAAAAGACACCGGAGGATGGACAGTGAACACAAATCAAATCAAGAGGGCGACCACCGACAACAGTACACAACAAGGCGAGGAAGAAGAATTTACTTGGCAGAATTGCGAGAGACAATCTTCTCGATGGAACTCCGGAAGGCTTCTGATAACTCTTTAGCCTCCTATGGAATGGATTCGATTTCTTCTTCTTCCTTTTCCTCCTCCTCTTCCTCTTCCTCTTCCTCTTCGGTTAAGAACTATCCTACCTCTGAATTTATTCATTTTCGAACAAACAGTAACACAAACTATCATGTTTCTGAGGCTACAAATAAGCGATGTGGCAAGTGTCAGAGGATAGACATCGTTTTCCTTCTTCATACTCGCATGGCCCTATCTGGCACCCTGGACCACACATAAAATTAACCTGTAAAAATTAATGACAGTATACAACAACTCCGAGACACCAGATAAAGAAACCATTACTTTTTATATTTTTGCCAGTTGCGAGCTTAAATTTATGGAGAGAGAAAACTGATGATCTGAAGAACAAAATTTTTTAAAAAAAAATGGAAGAGGTCGATTCATCTCCTCTCCGCGATCTAATCTCAAGTCAAATAAAGGGCCTAGGTAATGTTAGTCCAACGTAAATGGGCTTGAAATAACGGGCCTTCCCTTCAGAGTTGTTCGGCTCTTCTTCTCCTCCTTCTGCCGGAAAGAGAGAAAAAAACAAAAACAGAAATGGAGGGCGTGGCGGAGGGCCTATGGGGGCTGGCGGATTACCACCAGAAGAAGGGTGATATTGGGAAATCCATAAAGTGCTTGGAAGCAATCTGCCAGAGCCAAGTTTCGTTCCTTCCTCTTGTGGAAGTGAAATCTCGGCTGCGAGTGTCTTCGCTTCTCCTCCGCTACAGTGACAACGTGAACCACGCCAAGTCCCATCTCGAGCGATGCCTTCTCCTCCTCAAGTATATTCCTTCTTCCTTCGATCTCAAATTCAAGACTTACAGTTTGCTCAGCCATTGCTACCATCTCCTCGCCTCCTTCGCTCCTCAGCGCAATCTTCTTCTAAAGGCTCTGGAGCTTTCTTCTTCCGCTCCTCAGGATGATGTTTCCGTCCATCTCTGGTCCTGCAATTTCAATTCTCAGCTCGCTAACGGTTTCATTATCCAAGCCGATTTCCCTTCTTCCATCTCCGCCCTCCACTCTGGCTTCCTTTCTGCTTCTCGCATTTCTTGTCCCGAGCTCCAGGTATCCTCCTCTTCTTTTTCCTGGGTCTTTCTTTGATTAAACAAATCAAAGCTGTTTTCTTGCCTTGTCCTTCATCTCTAGATGTTCTTCACCGCTTCCCTGCTTCATGTTCACATCATGCAATGGACCGACGATTACACTGTTGAAAGCGCCGTCCAACGATGCGACGAGGTCTGGCAGACCATTCCTCCCGACAGGGTATGTATGCATATTTTCGTTGTGCTTATGTGTTTGCTTGCTTGTATAGAGATCCTTCCTTATCCCTTCCACTTGTAGAGAGAAAGGTGCCCCGGTTTGCTCTTCTACAACGAGATGTTGCACGTCTTCTATCGCCTTAGGCTCTGCGATTACAAGAACGCTCAACGGCATGTCGACCGCTTAGACGAGGCCATGAATACTCATTCCCAGAAAATGCAGGAGATTCAGCGGCTCACGGATGAACTTACTTCTTTGAATCAGAGTCTCTCCCGCAATGGTTTGCCCTCGAGGGAGAGATCAGTCCTCTCTGTCAGACAATCCCAGCTTCAAGATCGTCTAAACGCTTTGTCACCGTCTTCTTCCACTAACCCTTCTCTGGAGCCTGCGTACTTTGGCAGTACACAGCGTGCATGGACCGAAAGGCTTCTGCTTTCACCATCTCCAATCGACGGCCAGTGGCTGCCTAAAACTGCCATCTACGCATTGGTCCATCTCACAGTTGTCATAACTGGACGTCCAAAGGGACTCTTTAAAGAATGCTCAAAACGAGTCGAGTCTGGAATGCAGATTATTCAAGGTTTGGCCCATGAAATTCTTCAATTCTTCTGTTTATTTTGTCTGTTTGCAATCACAAGTAAATCCGTCTGCTTGGAATTGATTTTATAATATCGACATGTCATCTGTTACTGAATGCCACTTATGTGAGGATATTTTACTTCTTAAGAATATGAGTAAAAGCTTAAGGGATCCCCTCTCGAAGCATAGCATATAACCATCCTTTGGGATGTTCCTGCAGATGAACTGGTTAAACTTGGAATTACAGATGGAGTCAGAGGTCCGCTCGATGTCCCTACTGTAGCTACTGTTGTTTTAAGCAATGATTCCTTCTATGAAGCTTGATTCTCTTCCTGTCTCTCCTTTTTGCAGAAGCTGATTTGCAACATTCGGCTATCTGGATGGCTGGTGTTTATCTAATGCTGCTGATGCAGTTCCTTGAGAACAAAGTTGCTTTGGAGCTTACAAGGTCAGAATTTGTGGAAGCAGAAGAGGTGGACCATTTGCCCTTTTAGTTTTTGCAAACCTATCTTTTTCTTCAATTCACTCAGAGATTCAATCCCGTTCAGTGTTCTACATATTTTAACTTATGATATGTTGAGGTTTTAGGGCCTGCTGAAGATTTGTTCAGAAAGTTAACTGGCTATGTGTAAAATTGATAGAGTAAAGAGCAGTGGAGCATGAAAATAGAAGAAAGCGATCTCTTTATTAAATAATCCGGGGTCATCTGTCCAGTAAATCAAAATCTTAACACTCTTGCTGCTTTGGATGTTATTTATAGGGGAAGTTTCCATCAATAAAAGGAAATAAGATTTCAAACAAACCTAAGTGCCTAAAAATAAAATATTATCTAAATCTGCAATTTAAACGCATCAGTAACAGATCTTGTTTCACGTGGTAGTGGTACTGGGTCCTCTTAATTGTATTTTCAGAATTATGATGTCTCTATATGTGAAGACTCAGCGCCCTAACAATCATTATTCATTGTGCAGGCACTGGTGGAGATGAAAAATTGGTTTTCGCGGTTTCCGACAATTTTGCAGGCTTCTGAGTGTGTGATTGAGATGCTTAGGGGGCAATATTCTCATTCAGTTGGCTGCTACAATGAAGCCGCTTTTCATTACATGGCAGCAACCAAGGTGCAATCTATGATTCTTAACCTTGGCTTAAATGGAAGATATTCAATAAACTTTGAGATGGCTGGTCTAAGTGCCTATTTGACACTCGTCGTTGGGTTTCTTTTTTCTGTTGTCCATGTCATAATATTTAATGTGTTTCAGATGACAGAAAGTAGATCAATGCAAGCAATGTGCCAAGCTTTTGCAGCTGTTTCCTACCTTTGCATTGGAGATGCTGAATCATCTTCAAAGGTGTGACAGTTTCATGCAGTTAAATCATACTTGGCTTAACTTTGTGTCCTGGGTTTGGTGAGCTGATCCAGGTTCCGTTCAATTCTCTGTGCTTTGGCTTTAGGCACTCGATTTAATTGGACCTCTTTATGGTGTGAAGAATTCCTTATCTGGTGTCAGAGAAGAAGCTAGTATTCTCTTTGCGTATGGCCTTCTTTTGATGAGGCAGCAAGATCTACAGGAAGCAAGGTATATGCTTGAGTTACCACATCAAAATCATGCTTAATCTTTTCTTTTGATAAAAAACTTGAAGTTGGATGCACTGTATATATAACTGAGGAATTGCTACTTCTCATGGCTGCTGAGACCTCAAACATCATATGGAAGATGTTATACAAAACCAAAGTAGACCAAGATGTGGCTTATCTGTGTGTTCATAATTACAGAGAATTTGTTTCAATTATTGTTCCTTGGATTGCACAGTAAGAGAAGAAATGGCTCAAATTTTGCTTTACAGTTTCATATCCTTATACCATGATAATATCTGTGCAGAAATCGACTAGCCAAAGGCTTGCAGATTGCGCATAATCATATGGGTAACCTGCAGCTAGTTGCACAGTATCTGACAGTCCTGGGAAATTTGGCTCTCGCTTTACATGATACTGTACAAGCCAGGGAAATTTTGCGTTCCTCTCTTACACTTGCAAAGAAGCTTTATGATATCCCAACTCAGATATGGGTTCTATCCATCTTGACAGGTGATTATTTTTTAATGTAGTTTCCACAGCCTAGAGAAGGAGGTTGGGGAAATATAACATGATTGTGATTAGCCTATCTATCCCATTGTTAATTGTAAGTCACTGGCAGTGAGTAGTCCTTGTAAAGCCCATAATCGCCTTGGCATTATATATGTTGGAAAACTCTCTTTGTAGGATCAGTGCAGTTAGATCCAAATTCGTGGGAAAATCATTGGTCAAATGCTTTTCGAAAGGTCTGAGTTCAGCATTTCTTATGGCAGCCCTGTATCAGCAGCTGGGTGAGAAAGGGAATGAGCTGGAGAATGAAGAATACCGGAAGAAAAAATGGGAGGACCTGCAGAGAAGACTTGCTGATGCACGTTCATCAGTTCATCACATTGAACTAGTAAGATGAAAGTTTTGATTGTAGTACGATTCAAATAGGAATAACCTCTGCTTGCACCTCTACAGATTGGCAAAGCTAGGCTAGAAGTGCAAAGGGTTGATGAGGTAGAGACGCAGCAGCCAGGCCAACCAATGCAGCTCAATCTGGACATTCCAGAGTCAGTTGGTATAGGAGCTCCGCAACCTGCTCCCTCCTCGTCAAGGCTGGTAGATTTGGAATCCGGAAGAAGAAGGGGGAAGCGAAGATTATGAGACCGACATTCCTCTCCTTGATGGCTCCATTTGAGAGTATTGCTGTGTGTAACACAACACTAGGGTGTATGTAGGTTGAAAGGAATGGTTGAACCCTTTGTTTAGGGGAAGACCAAGACCCCCATGAAACATGAGATTCGGTTAAAATGTGTAGTTGAGCCAAAAGCATCAAGTCGTTCATATAATTATTATTACCTGTTTGCCCTTTGCTGTCGTTAGCTGTGCAATGGGAGAAACAGGGTTCACTAGGTTGCCTTCATTGTCAGTGGTTGGACCATTTTGAACCTAGTCTCTGATCACTTGGCTGGTTCAAGTAGTTGCTCTCCTCTTCTATACGGTAGTTGTGGCTACCTCAGTACCAAAAATCATGAAAAATCATATCTACTTAGAAGTAGGGCGTAAAAGGAAAGAAAAGGGGGCCGACATTCAACTCTCTGATCATTTGATTATCAGTACTCAGCAGTAAATACTTATATCTTCCTTTGTCTCTATGCTTTTCTTCCCATCTTGTACTAAACGTTCCTTGCCACAAGGATTCGCATATTCTCAAGGAAGGTTTAACGTTCACCTACATCACACCTCCAACTATTCTTGAAGTTGTTTCTGTACCTCCATTTGCAGGTAAAGAGCTTCAGTTACTTTCAACATCGGTTTGTCAGATCAATTTCTCAAATGTGCTCCTCCTCTTTTTCTCAAGGCCCGACCAGTAACAACAACTTTCAATACCCCGACTTCACCTGAGAAGAAATGAGTTTTCATCTATAAGTGGAAACATAAGGTCTCACTCCATACCACATTTCAGAGGATTTGAATCTACAGTTTGAAACCTCTCTTGCTCACACCAAACTGATCAACTCTGGTTGCTTAATCCAATCACCTTTTCTACATCTTAGGCAGAAGTGCCATGAGTTACAGCAAAAAGCAAGAACTTACATCTCTTCCCTTGTGATTCCAAGTGCATTCCAACCCATTTGACATCGAGCCGATCGACCACCATCGTCAAAGACAGCTGGCTCCATTTTCTCCTCCGGAATCACCATTGAATCTAAAAGGAACTATTTTGGAGCCCTTTCCACGCTTATATTGACTTCTGATGACCATTGGTATTCGCTTAGTGTTTCAGATAGGCAAATGCATCGGACATGCAACGTAGCACCCTTTTGTTGTGTAATGCCAAGGAGGGAAAAATGGTTGATTTAACAAGTCTATTGATGTCTGGAATGAGCAATCTTTTTCAGAATCTGCTGGAGGATGCCATAGAAACATGATGGATTCGCAGTTCAAAGTAGAAATTGTCTTCGATGTGAGCAAGTGTAGCTGCACAAATATGACATTATGGATTACAGTAAAACCTTCAGGCACTGAAGATGCCAAAATGGAAGGACTCATGGTAGATAATATAGAAACAGTCTGGAATGCCAAAATACACATCGCTGAAGCTAATCTGAAAAGAAGCCAAATGTAGCATTCATGCAACAACAAAAGAATCATAATTCAAAACCTATAACCATGCAATCGCTTCGCCCACCTTCTAGCCATAAAATGGTCGTGGTAGTCCCAAGATTGTGCGCTGATGCTTGTTCTTCCACAGGTGAAGCTCGTAAATTCATCAATTTTGGAATCTTCCTTGTCACCAAAGCTCACCATTGTCTCTCCTCTTCTCCTGATACATTCTGCAGTCTCTCCTTCAACAAAGCTGTACCCCACAGGTACATCTACTACATGCTCCCCCCCGAGCTCTAGTAATATACGCCTCTCCTCACCTCCTCTCAGTCTACCTATCTTAACGATCTTGGCTTCCTCCCCAATTCTCAGTTGGATGTCATCCGCTATGGCTCCCAACACCTTTCCTAGGAACTCTTCAAACTCCCGCATCACAAAATCATTTGAAACCACATGAAACTTATGAACTATGACACGGGTCTGCATCATGTTGTCGGGATAATATGGTCTTGCTGGGGTGTCACAGAGATGTAGAATGCTGCACCGGGGATTCTTGAATGTGCGATCTTCAAGTATTTTGCTACCCTTCCTCAAGCCCTCGGATGGTTCGGCTTCTCCCATATAGAAGAGGCGATCAATTACTTGCAGAGCCATGCGCTTCCCAGAGGAAGTCATGCGTCTCAGAGAAAAAACTCGTGAGCATGTCACTATGGCTAAACGATCAACTGGGCGAAGGGAGAAAGCCACCAATGCCATAGCCTGTTTGAGGAGCCTCAAATGTGGCCCGTTGGGGCTTGTCACCAACACCAAGTCAATGGGCTGGGGATTTGTCAGTTTCACTGAAAGAAAGGCGAACAAACACTGGCCATCTTCTGGCCATGGGAGATAATGGGTTAGGAAGGCAGTTCGACCCATTTGTTGAAATGCAGCTCGGTGCGGATATGAAACTAAGGAGGGGGCAATGGGTACTAAAGAGAGATCAAGACAAGGATGATTGGAGCGATGATGAGGGTCAATAGGATCATCATCATCGTAGCGAGCAGAGCGCCTATGGACACGGAAATTGGCGATGGAGTCATCAAGGATACGGAAAACGGGATCCTTTTCAGTAGGCGGCAGTTTAACGTTGCGGGGGAGCTGCGTCCAGTGTGCCCTGCACACGGGGCAAGTTACACTTCCATGCCGCACATTGGCAACAACGCACGACAAGTGGAACGAGTGAGAGCATTGCCCCTTGAATATACCTTCTCCACGGCTGTTGTCCAGAGCTTCTAGACAAATTGCGCACAAGTTCTGCTGCATCGCCCAACCAACAAAATTTTATAACACATCTCCCGAGTAAGATTGAGAGGGAGCGAGAAAGAAAAACTGAATCAACAACACAAGTAGAAATCTACGAGCTAATAAGCTGAAACTTCATTACCAAAAAAAAAAAAAGCTGAAACTTGGAAGAAAGGAGGAAAATGCAATACCTTGGAAGTGGGAACGGTGATGCCCCTGCAGTCTGCTTTCTCATTCGGTGCATTCTGGGAGAGAGGCTTCGCAGTGCCTGTAGATCCTGGCGAGCTCTGTTTCATATGCAAAGATGGAAACTTTGTCACTGAAAATTCCATACACAAAATTTTGAGCCCCTCGCCAAATTCTGCGGAAAAGGTAGCATATTTGAGAAATTGAACAAAGACCCATAGTGGAAGCATGACATACAGGCGGATGAAGAAGAGGAGGAGCGGAAGAGAAGGAACCACATGCAGCCATCACTATTTTCTTGGCAGCTTTCCTTAGCTTGGAAGAAGCGCCTCCCACGCCCATTTCTCGTCACCGTCTTCTTGATGAAAAGATGAAACTAGCAGATTTTGGACACCGATGGGATATGACTATGAGGCGGAGAGACGACTTTGGGAAATTTATAGAACCTGAAAGCGCTCTCTCTCTCGTGTTACTGGTCCTTTGTGAAGGTCTCAACAGTTTGAGATGATGCCCAAATCCGGCCTGCATAAATACCCACATCAAGGCAAAGAATAAAGGGGTAATAATAATGCTGACACTTCTTTAGAGGAGGAAACGAAGAAAGAGACTAAAAGCAATTGACCTGCTGACTCATGTTTTACCGCTTTTCCTCATTGGATTGGCTTTAGGCCCAATGCGTTCATCAAGTAGAGGAGAAAAAGAAAATTAGAGAAGCATCGAGTTAAATTTAAAAAGGAAAGCAAGGTAAGGAGAGGGATGGAGGCTTTGGGTGGGTGGTCTACACTTCACAGAGACATCTTCGACAAGATTGGACCCACACCCACTTTTTACTCTCTCAAAAACCCTCGTCGCCATATTGTTTATCTTTTATCACACTCGAAACAATTCTCTCACAGTAACTGCTTTTCCTCGATGACCGTTACGTTGAAGTTTGAATTTCTCATACAAGCTTTCTATGATTGCTTGTTTTGAAAAAACTAAGACAAAACCAAAACAGATGACACATCAGGAACAACAAAAGGCGGATCTCTCGCTGAGAATCTAACATTGCTCAAACAAAACCACGGAGATATCTATTTCGCACTATTCCCTCTACTTCCGCAGTTCCACAGAGTAGACATATTCTGAAACTGCACCGTAAAAGAACGTTTTCCCGACAGGATGCAATGAAATTGGATGCAAAGCGAAACATAACTTGGCTCGACATAGATCTAAATTCACGCGCAACCAGAGACCAACCCTACACAAAAGCCGGACCATTTGATAGGCCCTCGCCACCCTTGAATGTCAGCCCGCATCTGTCAAAATGTTTTCCCAGTTCTACAACAAGACAGCCTCTGCCCATACTTTGCATAATATAGCCAAAACAGACTCCAAGACGATGTACATATATAGAGAATACACTTTCTATCGTGTGTGGTTATAGTACATTTTTCCCATATGATATAGACAACTTCCTCAGCTGCAGCACCCTCCTCCTTGCGACAATGATCCGTCTCTTCCACCTGATGGCCCTGGAATTCCTCCATATCCAACTTTTATTCCATAAGACTGCATATATATTGCAATGATTTAACATGAGACTCTCAAGCAAAATCTAGCAGAAGTCTTGATCGTACATCTGGGCACATGTGAGAAAAATGGAAGCCCCCGTTCCAACATGACATGAAGCAGAGAATGGAAAATTTACTCAATCTAACCTCATTTGACACATCAAATACACCATCTTGGACCTTCTTGTATATCGTTGCAGCTGTCTTGATGAATGCCTGCAGAAAATTTCACAGCACAAAAAAATGAGATGGCCCACATACTGAATATGATCATAAGAGTAGAATGGAAGAACCTCAAACATTCTGAGGAGAGCGCTTCCCCCTTTACACAGGATATTCCCCACAAATCTGCTTGTTCCTTTATCTTCCTATTCACTCTTATGTAGTCTATGACCCTAGACCGTTCTAAACATAATAACCTTGAAAAGCACTTCTCCCTAACCCATGACTAATTCTGGCATCACATTTAAAAATCTCTCCAACGGCCCAACCACTGAATACATGGTATTTCTCGTCATATAAGAATACAGTAGTGGATATAAGTTACGGAAAATTACAGAAAGTAGACGAGTTTGTGCATATGTGACTAGCTACATCCAGACAAGAACAATTTACCTCTTCAACATTCTGAGCGGTTTTGGCGGAGGCCTCCATAAATATTAGCCCATGCTCCTTTGCAAACTGTTCTCCTTCCTCTGTGCTAACTGCCCTTCGGTGGGCGAGATCACACTTATTACCAATGAGCATTATTGTCATGTTTGCATTCGCATGCTGCCTGGCATCCTCTAGCCAGCTGGCCAGGTGATTAAACGTTTCCCTCCTGCAAAGCAACAGGATCAATTATGTGAACATCAATGCTTAAACAGTAAAACATGATACGGATCACCTGCCCTTTCCAGCAAACACATCCAATTGCAAAATTTAGATGGCATTATGGAGCATTGAAGCAAAAGCAGAAAATACCAAGAGAAAGCTGGAAAAGACTGGTTCAGTATCAAATAATCAAAAGCGCATAACCATGCTCAACTGGATGTTTGTAGCTAATAAAAGAGAGTCAATTCTTGAGAAGAAGAGACAGCAAAAGCGTTACCTCGTGATATCATAGACGAGCAATGCTCCTGCAGCCCCTCTGTAATAGGATCTGGTAATAGATCTGAAGGATTCTTGACCAGCCTAGCGTATCACACCAAGATAATATAGGATTAGTGACGTTTATGCAAAAGAAAACATTTGCTGCTGACAGCAATCTCATGAATTACGAAAACAACAGCTCCCTAATCCACGCAAACAACAAGTTCGCACATCAGTAAAGAAAGGGAGAAACGGAAGATACAGTGTCCCAAATCTGGAGTTTGATGGGTTTGTTGTCGATGGTGATCATTCTGGCCCCAAACTCAACACCGATGGTGAGGTCATGCACCGGCTGGAACCTCTTGTCGGTGAACTGAAGCAGAAGACATGATTTTCCGACTCCTTCACTCCCAAGCCACCCCGACAAGAAAATACACATCCATCAACGTCGATGATATACGGCCATCAAAATATAACGAGACAGACATGCCGAGAAGTCATGAAACTTGTGACATTGGGAACAACACAAAAACGTAGTGTAGAGGATGCAAGACATTTGAATCCAAATTCTATTTCAATATGCATCGATCTGATCAGCGGAAAAGGGAGAGAAGCTACCAGTGTCGCCGATGATGATATACTTGAAGAGATACGCATAAGACATCTTCCGCTTGAATCGGATCAGGCGATTTCGACGACCGGAGAAGACGAAGAGGGGGGGGGGGGGGGCGCAGG